TTATTTTCATTTTATTTATTTAATATATATTATAATCCAAAATTATTATTATAAGACTAGAAATTAGTATTAAATTTTATGTGTGATTTTTTTTTAAGGTGTTTTTTTTGAAAAAAAAATAAAAAAAAAAAAAAAAAGAAACTTTAATTTTTTTATTTTTATAATCAAATAATTTTTTTATTAATTTTCTTTTTCAAATTTTAGTAGATCATTTAAATACCAAAAAAGTAAATTACTTTAAATTAAAAAAATAAAAAAAAAATAAAATTTTATTTTTTTAAAAAAAGTGTGGGTGGGGGGAACTCGCGGCACGAAAAATAAAAAGCTCATAAAAATCATAAAGGAATGAAAATTAAAAAAATAATTTTAAAACACATCAATTATTTGATTTAAAAAGAGTTGATCAATATAAATTGCTTTATAAAATATTTCTTATCTTGAAAAATGAATTAAAATGATATAAAATAAGTAGTGGTTGGATACTAATGTTTTTGGGTATTATTATTTATAAATTTGATTAAAAATTAAATAAATAAATAAACAACCAAAATGGAAAATTAAATAATACCCCAGCTATTTAAAGCATCAAAAGGTACTAATGATAATGGTTTATCCATCCATGAAAAAGCTCAACTTCAACATATTACAGATGAAGAGAGAAAGAAACCCACCAAAAACAAAATTTATAGTTTTTAATACAATATTTCAAAAAAGAATCATTTTTATTTTTATTTATTTAATTTTATTTTTTTATTTAGTATTTAATATTTTTTACCTTTTTTTACAATAATAAAGTCCTCTAGATCTGCATAGGTGTCAATATTATTGGTATTATTATTACTGTCGACATTTTCTTGGTTTGTTCTAAGACAGGAATCAATAAAAGGATGTCTACTTCTTATTCTATTTTGTTGATTAATTGAATTTAAATTAGTTTGGATTTGAGGGGATTTTGCAATAGATGATTTTCTTTTCTTTTTCTTTTTATTATTTGATGGTGGAGGTGTTCTTAACTGTTGTTGTCTTAATAAATGTTGTTGATGCTGATGTTTAATTTTAGCTAATTGATCTTGGTGATGGTTTATGCTATCTGTTTCATTATCATCATTATTGTTGTTGTTATTGTCATAATCGGTATTCATCTTTTCATGATTATTATTTTCGATTAATTGAATTTCTTCATCTTGGTCTATTGTACCTAATAAATATAAATAAATGAATCTAAAAGTTACCATTAAATCGTATAACTTTTCAAAGAAACCTTTTGATAAATGGTAGCTGTGATCGTCACCCAATAAATAAGTTGTAGTGTAGAACGTTCGACAAATCATTTTTATGAAGACATCTAATGTTTCGTTATTATTGTCACCTAAAACCAAATCTTTTATAATTTCATTATTTGTTAAATCTAAAATATTTTCTGATAAGGTTGTTTTAATTCTATTATGATGATTTAATTGAAAGATTTCTCTTAGTGAAGCTGGAGGTGATAAATTTGATTTTGATATTGAAAGCTGATCTAAAACCATTGGACTTTGTGAAAAACTATTCAATAGTGGGAAAAATATATCTACAAACAAATAAATATATTTCTCTAATAACTCCAAATTTATGTAGTCAAATAAATGAATGTATATAGTTTCACCAAGATGATTTAATGATGAAATTGACTTTTGGCTTGTTATAGTATTTGGGAAATTTGAAACAATTGAAACTATAATTGAATCTATCAATAATTTTGATGGTGGCAATACTATAACAGTGTCGGGTATCAAAGAGGATTTTGATTTTGATTTTGATTTTGATTTACTTGGTGTTGTTACTGATGATGGAGCGTTTTTATCATTTTCGACCACTAAAAGTTGTTCATATTTCTCTCTATTCACTTGAATGGTCGAGTTGAATAAAAGCTTAATTGAAACTTCGAATAAACTATCTCTAGCTAAATCCTTTTGAATTTTATAATATTCTTTTTGTTGATCATTATCGAACAAGGCTACACTTTGAATTGAGGCATTTATATATTCGAATATATTGAATATTGTTGATTTCTCTTCTTCTTTTAATTCTGGCTCGTTGAATATATTTGATAAAGTTGTAAAAATTTTGTTTACTATTGGTTGATTATTTATTAAACTACTATGATTTTGAATATCTTTGATATTATTTAATTTTAATAGCAATACTATTATACCTAAATATTGAACTAAAAGTGTTTTATTTTTTTCACTTTCAATTCTATCCAAAAAGTATAAAATTAAAATAATATTTAATGATTTATTTTGAATTTGTAATTCTTCAATATTGCTATTATTATAAACTGGTATTAAGAGTTGTTTAATTGAATTTATATTGTTATTTAAGTAGTTCCATGATTTGAGTGAATATTTTCTTGGATCGGATGAATCTAAAAGTTTATAAAATACAATTAAAGCCAACTTCATTATATAAACTGGGTTATCTAATCTATCATCTTCTAAACTATTATAGGTTGAATGTACTAATGGATATGGTGATTTTGATAATTGTAACTGGCAAGTTAATATTTGATTAAACTTTAATAAAACTATAAAATTACTATCTGATCTATCTGATATTATATGATATAAAAGTAATAGTGTTTCGAATAGTTCTTCAATATCTTTATTATTTTGATTATTATTATCATTATTATTAATTATTAGATATTTGTCAAAATTTAAAACCAAAAGCTCTAAACAATATGAAACTATATTTAAACTTGGTGTACTATTGTTGTCATTATTATTATAATTGTCATCCATATCAGATTCTTTATAAAGTAAATAATTTTCAATAAATTTGACCAAAATTGTTGAAATTGTTTTTAAACTTAGTGTGTTGTAATTACTTATGTTATCGTTGATTTCTCTTGATCTTTCAGTTTTAAAAATCTCGCAAATTGTAATATAGCTAAATGAAAGATTTATACATTTATTTATATCTTTAAAACTGTATAAATTCTAAAATAATAAGAAAAAATAGTTAGATTTTATTTTATTTTTTATTTTATTCAGTAATTACTTACAATTAAATAGTTATATAGTGGTGATAAAACTCTAATAATTATATTTTGAATAGTTGATAAATTATGATCATTTGTATCTGAAACTTTTGATAATAACTCAACAATTGAATCTATATTTGAAAGATCATTCACTAAGCTCTGGCATATTAGTTGTGATGGATGTTTAAATGGAGGGAGTGTAAAAAGAATGATTAAGTAAAAATGAATTGGTTCAATTGATAAATCAATATTTTTTATAATTTTAATAAAGTCTATTTTTTGTGTTATTAATGATTGGGATGATGGTTTTTGTGTTAATAAAAGTGATGTTGATGTTGTTGCTGCTGTTGATTCTAAATTATTTATTTCTGAAAAGCAAGATTTCTTTAATTTATCATAAATATGTTTTAAAAGTTGATTATATACTTTTAATAAATTATTATTGTTATTGCTATTATTATTATTTAATGATTTATTCTTCTTTATTGAATCTTTTTGTTTTTGTAATATTGTTAATATATACTGAAATATTGAATATGAATGGAATGATGGGATATAGATTGAAATTGAAATAATGTTATTTATTTGTGCAATGATTACTTCTTGATTCTTTTTTGATAAGAGAATATTATTATTACTATTATTTATAATGTCAAATTGTGAAAATAAATTTATATAAAAAAACGATGCTAAATTAAAATATTTTGTTGATAAAAGGTTAACTTTGATAATTGAATTTTGTACCTGTTCAAAAATGGAATCAACAACTAAATAATTTTGAATTATTAAAGAAAGTGACTTTAGATTTTCAAAACTATCATTATCAATTTCAACTTCTCTTTCTTGTTTAATTAATAATTTATAAATTCTGAAAAAAATAAAAAAAAAACAACATTAGTATATAATTTAAATTAAAAAATAAGTATCTTTATAATAAAATATACTTACATTTCTTTTAACAATTCTGTGGTACTGTTTAAAATATTCTCATCTTGAAAACTTTGTTCAATATTTAAATTTTGATTGAGTGAATAATTTAGTATATCTAATATACAACTATATACAATATTATGAATTAATGAAAACTGATTGGTTAAGTGATATGTTTGAAAATAATATTTAAATAAAAACAATTTCCAAACTTGATCGTTCATTTTATAATAAATCTAAAAAAAAAAAAAAAAGTTAATAAATTACTTTTTTAAAAGGGTAGATATTCTAAGATCCAATACATACAAATTTTAAACAATCTACTGAAAATTTGAATAGATAATTATTTGAAACTGTGTCTAAAAGCTGTTGCTGTACTTGCTGTTGTTGGATTTGATCAGTTTGTAATACTTCAAAAAGTAAAAATACATCATTTAATAATTCTAAAAATGAATCTGAAAAAACAATACTACTATTATTTGACTCCATCTTTAAAACTACTATTAAAAAATTAATTGATTGGAAGAATATTTCTTTAAAACCATTATTGTTATTGTCATTATTATTGTTATTGTTTTTACTATTATCTATTTTACTATTGTATGACTCTTTAATAAGATGACTTAAAATTTCGAAAATCTAAAATAAATAAAAATTAAATATTAGTATCTCTAAGATTTGTTTTAATTAATTTAAAAAATCTTTTTTAAACTTACTTGTTTTTTAAATGATGGAAACTTTAATAAAGATAATAGAATAAACAAGTCTATCGAAGTACCTCCCATTAATGCTGATGTGGATGGCGGTGCTATTGATTTATTGGTATCGATAGAAAGCTTTTCGTAATAATAATTTAATAATTCTTGAGACTCTATTATATGGAGTGATAAATAACTATTAACAAGTTCATATAAAATAAATAATAAAAACAATATTTTATTTTCATTGTTTTCACTAAATTGAATTTTATTGATTTCTAAATTTAAACATTTTATAAACTCTATTGGTGTGCATTTATTATTGGTTCCATCTCCATTTAACCATTGATTTTTAATTTGGTTTATAATTTCCTCTTTATTCTCTTTGGTGAAATTTTCATTTTCTAAAATTAAAAAATGAATTATTTCTTGGCTATTTTTGTTATAATTGTTATTATTATTGTTATTGCTGTTATTATCTTTGTTATTCATATCATTATATTTTATTGTGACTGTGTGTTGTGTAATAAATAATAAAATAAAAAAGCTTTTAAAAAAAAATTTAAAAAAAAAATAAAAAAAATTAAAATTAAATTTTTAAAAAATAAAATTTAAAAAAATAAAAAAAGCGGTCTAAAAATTTTTTGTGGGGTGTTGATAATGCGTGTGCTATGAAAAACATCATCATTGTCAATTATTAAATTTATTTAAAACTTCTAAATTATATAACAGGGACTGGGTTTCTATTAATGATTGAAAAACTTTTTGGTAAACATTATGAAACTTTATAAAAGTATTCTTTTGTTCTTTCTTGTTAAAAGCGATATTATTTGAAAGGTTATCTTCGTTTTGAATAATAATATCAAAAACTTTTTTAATTTGATCACAAATATCTATTTTTAATTTACTATTCCATTCGTTTTCATTTGATAAATTTAAATTGCATCCTAAAAATAAAATAAAATAAAGTAAAAAAATAATTAATAACTAGTTATAATGATTTTAATATTTTTAAACCTATACGCACCATTTGGTAAATTATCAATTAATAATTTTAAATTATTTAATAAATTAAAAAAACAAATTGAATTAATTTTAAATGATAATAAATTTTCTGATTTTAATTCAAATTTGAATTCTATAAATACTAAACCACAACTATTATCAATTGATTGAACTATTATATTATTATTGCTATTATTATTATTGAAACCAAAATCGATATCGTAAAAATCTAAATTTTGAATTCTAAATTGATTTTTAGGAAATATAGTTTCAAAGTTATTTAATAATTTAATTAAATCATCTCCAACTATATTAAACTCTAGTGAGTAGGGATAATTGTCCAATGCTCTATTATTATTACTATTATTACTGTTTTTATTTAGAAAATCATTTAAATAAAAAGAATCTAGGAATGATGAATAAATATTATTACTATTATAACATAAATCATTATTTTCGACACTATTACTGTATGACCATTCCAAGATAATATTTATTAAATTTGGCGAGTAGAAATTTAAATTTATATCTTTTAATGAAGTTTCTAATAAAATAGTTGTCGAAGGGGTTGAATTTGATACTAATATTCCAAAAGAGTTATTATTATTTGTGATTGTATTACGTAATTTGGTAAATAATGAAATCTCTTTACTTGATAAAAATACTGATAATATACTATATGGTTTACTTGATTTTTTAAATTCTAATTGACAATAAAGCATACCATCCCTGATAGTTATAAGTTTTGATAATAAATTTGGTTTTAAATCATTATTTCCAGAACTATTATTATCATTATTATTACTACTATTATTATAACTACTATCATTATTATTACTACTATTATTAAAAATTGATACTAAATTATAATTCCAGTCATTTAATTTATTATTGTTTATATTTATTATCGAATTTGGTACTCCAATCGATTCTAAAACATTTAATGAATAATTTAATAAAGACTCTTTTGATTTTAATTGTTGTTCTAATATTTTATATTCACTATTTGCTATTGTTGACATATTTTCTAATGAATCCATAATTATTTTAAAAGGTACTGATTTCTTTACTTTTTTTTCCTCCTCTTCTTTTTTATAATTATTAGCATCCTGTTTTTGTTGCTGATCTATTATAGTTTTGAGGTTGATTCGATTAAAATTTAAAATATATTGTAGTGGTATCATTGATAATGTAATAACTTTTGGTGCTGGTGGATGATGACGAATTAATAATTGATCAAAACCATATGAAAGAAAATCATGTATCCATATCTCCTGAACCTTTGTAATTTCATTTAATAACACTTTTGTTGCAATTGAATAAACCTGAACCAATTCATCTTCTTTTTGATAATTAACAACCAAACAACCCTGTGACCAATTTAGTTTATTATTTTCTTCCTCTTCCTTTTCTTCTTGTTGTGATTTATTTATAACTGGATCAAATATTAATGGTAAATTTATAAAATAAATATTGGAAGGCTTTTTTTTTAATTGTAACTCCCATATTGGTGATTGGTCATCATCCTCTTTATAAATTAAAACTTGACAATCTAAAAGAATACCATAGTAATTTGAATTTAAAGTTTTGATAATTTGAAATTCATTT